CTTCATCTCTTATGCTCAGCAGCTAACTAACACACTTTTGCATTAGTAAATTACCAAATTCTATAAATACATTTACTTTCTTGTTTTTATCGATTTGATCATACATCATAATCATCTAATTACAAACAGAATGATTGAGCATGGGTGAATACTGAATACTGAACTACCCACCCTATAGCTAAATTGGTGAAAATTATGATAGAGCTGGGATCTTCCTAGCCTTTACCCTTTTCGGAAAAAATCCCAAAATACACTAGTTTTTAAAAAAAATTCCCAAAATACATAAGTTATAAAAAAAATTCCAAAAGTACACATGTTTGAGCATCACCGTTTTAGACAAAAACGGTGAAGGTCATCACCGCTTTTGACCAAGACGGTGAATACTTCACCGTTTCAAACTAAAACGGTGAAGGGTTCACCGCGTTTGTTAAGAACGGTGAATACTTCACCGTTTTAAACAAAAACGGTGAAGCCTTCATTTGAATTCCAAGTATTTTGATAACTCTAAATGGTTCTCCTCGTCGATACGATCGCGCTGCCGAAAACGGCTCGTTATTTCGACCTCAAACGAATAAGATACGCGCGTTTTAGTTTTTAGTACGCAAAAGTTACTTTAACGACATGTGCAGCTTTGAACTCACTTATCTCACTCGTTTGGACTCGGAATTGAGATCTGTAAAATTCTATGTGATCGTGGTTGATTTTCCCAACTTTTTTGTGTTGAGGGAATATAATGATTCTTGATAAAATGATCCAGAATATTCATTCGACAACTTAAGTGCGTAGGATAGTTTTTAGACCATGCAAACTCAAATAACAACACCTAAAAATCACAAAAACAACATTGATAGTTCACTACAATGATAAAACGATAAATTCACTCATTTGCTTCATTTTGGCCCCCATCTCCACCTCTTCCCCCTATCGTTTGGTTGATTACAAGAGTGCAAGAACAAAGAACATTATGAGAGATTTACAAAAATTACTTGTTTTGCTTTTTGTTGACAAAAAGATTCAATTCAACAACAAATGACTCATACAAAATGAACCCGTATGCTATCATTCCCAAATACACCCAATCACTTTACTCATTCACACCCTCACAGGCACAGCTCGTCAATTTTATACTCAAATCTTTGAGCCAAAATCACGATCCAACTAACCCTGAAATGATTATAAATCATTAGTAGATCAACAAAAACCTGCTAGCTAGCTAGCTAGCTGCTGTAGCTTCTACAAATTTTGGGACTTCCCAAAGGCCAGAAAGAACAAGTCCCTTCCCTCCCTTCCCCTCCACTAATCTCATCTTCTTCTCCAAATTTCCCCAACCCCCCAAAAAGGCCAGCACAGCTCCCACTCAAAACTAAACATATACTACAACAAACTCACTGATTCACACACTCCCCCAAGCAAAGCTCCCTCACTTCCACTCTCTCTCTCTCTCTCCACACAATGTCACCACCACTCCTTCTCGTCCTCCTCCTCCTCTGCTCCGCCTCCGCAGCCGGCAAATCCACCACCACCCCCGCCGCCGCCGCTCCAGCTACCACCCCAACCTCTTCCCCGGCCACCGTCCCTCCTCCCAAGACCATCCCATCTCCTTCCACTTCAACTCACTCCACACTCGACCCAAAGCAGCTCCGAGCCCTGCAGTCGCTCAGCATTCCCACGGCCAAAGACCCCTGCGCCCAGCCTTCCCCTCACAACGCCACACTCTGCGACGCCGCCTCCCCATTCCGCCACGTCGTCTCCCTCCACCTCTCCAACTGCTCCGACGACGTTTCCCTCTCCTTCACCGCCCTCAAGTCCCTCTCCACCCTCCACACCCTCTCCTTCACCGACTGCCCCATTACCCCTATCCGCTTCCCTTCAGATCTCGCCCTCGCCCTCCGCTCTTTCTCTTGTGCGCATTCTCTCAAACGCCTCACGGGCGTCTGGCTCTCCCACTTCGCCAACCTCACCGACCTCACCGTAACCGATGTCCCCGTCACCGCCAGCGGGCTCTACGTCGTCATCGGGAATATGCGCGAGCTCCGGTCGCTCACCATCGCGAATGCGAATCTCACGGGCTCGATTCCGAAGCATTTGGTGGAGAATCTCACCCATGTGGATCTTTCGGGTAACAGGCTTAAGGGTAGGATACCCAGTTCAATTGCAATCCTCGAGAATCTAGAAAGCCTCAATCTCTCCTCCAATTCGCTCGCCGGGGAGCTGCCGGCGAACTTCGGGGACTTGATTTCGCTGAAGAATGTGTCGCTGGCGTCCAATTCGTTGTCCGGGTCCATCCCGGATTCCATTTCGGCTATTCCAGGTTTGGAGCATCTCGATCTGAGTTCGAACCAGTTCAATGGCACAATCCCCAAGTTCTTGACCGACATGAAGCATCTCAAGCACTTGAATCTCGCCAACAATGGCTTCCACGGCATTTTGCCGTTCAATGCCTCGTTTCTCAAGAGATTGGAGGTCTTCAAAATCAGGGGTAACGACAATTTGTGCTACAACCGTACGAGCTTGCCGTCCAAGTTGAAGCTAGGGATTGCTCAGTGCGACAAGCACGGATTGCCCATGTCCCCGCCGCCGTCGAAGGATCTGACTTCAGGGGGTGACGACGACTCGTCGGATTACGACGATGGAGACGACGACGGATCGAGTAGCAAGAAAGAGAGTCATCATGGGCCGAATAAGGTTGTACTAGGCCTTGCGATTGCCCTCTCTTCCATTGTTTTCCTCATTGTTTTCCTTATTCTTCTGTCCAAGAGATGCACCTGAGAAACCCAAACAAAAAAAAAAAAAAACGTATTACCACTGTAATTTTCCCCCTTTTGTGTTTGTCTGTTTAGAACTGTTAGATCAGGGGAAGATTTGTTAATTGGATACTATGTTTTGTCTGTGCTAATTTTCACTATTTGTTGATTAATTAATGTATACGTTGAGAAAGAACAAAATCGACATGAAATGGAAGGGTCTTGAACAGAGACTGGTCATGGGATTGTTCCGTAGAACAGTGGAATGTTTCTCTGTTCTCAGTTACTGTCTTACTGGAGTGTTGAGTTATTGGGAAAATTAGCTGTAAATTCTCTCATATAATGAGAAGGATTGGATCTATAGGGGGTCGGTTAGCATGCTAACCCCCCTTAGGGGTTGGAAAAATGACACCCCCTAGTATATTAAATACAACTATAGAATTTAATACACACATTAAATACACATTAGGAATTAAATGTACCATATTAATTAGGAATTCTCTCACTATTAAATACACATTAGGAATTAAATACACACATTAAATACACATTAGGAATTCTCTCACTATATTTTATTTTTCCTTTTTCAGCAGTCTCCGACCACCAGACTTCCTCCGACCGCCACACTTCTCCGGTGAAAATCCCATCGGCAGACTCCCTCCGACCACCTCCAAAAAATATACCACTGCACTGATACGGTGTACCACTGTACTGGTAGATATACCACTGCACTGATACGTTGTACTACTGTACTGGTAGATATACCACTGCACTGATACGTTGTACCACTGTACTGGTAGATATACCACTGCACTGGTAGCGATATCAGTGCACTGGTAGCAATGTCATATCTGAGTATCAGTGCAGTGGTACAAATACCAATAAAGTGGTAATTAATGTGGTGTATTTAATGCTTACTTTGTATTTAATAACAGAACATTTATTATGTTTACTTTCATTAATACTTGTCAATAATTAATGAAAAATTGACCAATTAAAAGGGGGGTGTCAAAAAACCAACCCCTTAAAGGGTTAGCATGCTAACCCGTCCCGATCTATAGAGTTGACTGTTGTTGATTTCTCCAGCACCAGACCTTGACCCTTGTTGTTATTTTTAGTCAAAGGAACATTAAGACCATTTGCTCTCTCCTGTCCAAATCTGGCAATTATGCTTATGTGACCGATCAGCGTATATCAACACTGTTGGTTTAGCCTCCAGCAATTTTTCAATCGTTCAATCGAGCTTGGTGACATTTGCTGCTGCACTAATTCGATAGCTGAGAGAGCACGTTCGAGATGATCCAACGATCCAGCGCGCCAGCTTGATAAGTCATATTAAGATTGACTATCATGAAAGGCGGATAGATAATGATATTATGACTACTACTAGTACTAATCACTTCTCTGCAAGTTCTCTGCAATTGCAGTTTTTCGTTCTCCATGAAACTGCACATGTATTTTCCAAGATCTTTGGGGGAGATTGCTTCTCTGTGAGCGGAGCTGGAAGCTAGGGCAATTTCTTTTTAGTGTTCACAATGTGGGCTCAACCAACCTTTAAGATGTAGCTGTGGGTGTAATCAAATAAGTAGCAGTTAAGGTATGATATGATATAACAGCTAGCCAGGCTCCCACACCTTATAATTGGAGTTTTATGAGTGCAAGCAACAAAACCAAATCATAAGTGGCACTTCCAACAACCAATGTCATGATGTTTACGAATTTTTCTTATTTTACTACAATTGGGTTCCATCATTATTACATACCATGTGATGAATTCTTGGGCACCTCCCAACCACCAGCAAATCCTCTGCCACTTTGGTACAGAAAGTGAACCTGCAGATCCTGTGAAAAATGAAAGCTCTGTATGTGTTCATAGTTCGAAACAGGGAGAATCAGTTTTGAATAGTTTGATTGCTCTGCTCTGCAACTTCTGAGCCTGGTGTTCAATCATTTCCACTGGAATAGGCATTATCTATCAACCTTAGGGGGCACCTGGTTGAGTACATGCAATCATGTATCTTGTACACTGAACTATAAGAATGTAACGTTGAAAGATCATCTTTGATTTATACGGATGGTAATGCTGCACCTCAGACCAACTCGATGCATCGTCGAGATTTCTGAACACATGATAACATGTGCTTCGAAAATGCATTGGGCTGATATACATGATTCTTGTAATAGATTTAGACTACTGCAAAAATGATGAATTATCAACAACCAAGGAACTTTCACTGGTTATCAAATGGCCCATGCCTACCAGAAACCTCTGCAGGAACAAGATCCATCCTTGAAATGGTGGAAAAAATTGGAATCTCGTAAGATAATCTCCCTCCCGGTAGTCTTGGACATGAACTTAGCCATCTCGTGACAATCCCTGCAAACTCTCAAGTTCTTCATTACTCTTACCGTCTTCCCAGGTGGCAAGTTCAGGATCCCAAACCCCATGGCTAACTTCTCACTGTGCCCACACAGAGCCATTTCCTTCTCTAGATCATCTCCATTCATCAAGGCGTATCTAAGCTTAGGAGAGAAACCTTCTTTCTTCATTCCTTCCCTTACCTTCCTCAACAGAGCCTCAATCTTTCTGACTTCCGGGTGTGAACCATCTTTAGCAACAAACACATGAACTTTCCCCTTAACCTCTATCCAGCTACAACCTGGATGCTTCTTTAAACCCCGTCGACCAATTTTCACTCTCAGCTCCTTCACTTCCTCCCATTTCTCTGCCTCTGCGTATATATTTGCTAACAGAACATAGTATCTTGCATTCTCTGGTTCTAATTCAAATACATGTTCTGCAACTCTCTCGGCTAATTTCACGTCATGGTGAATCCTACATCCACAAAGCAAAGCTCCCCAGATTGTGGCATCCGGTTTTATTGGCATCCCCTTGATGAACTCATAGGCCATCTGTAGCTTCCCACTGCGGGATAGAAGATCCACCATGCAGGCATAATGCTCTAAACTCGGCTCTATCTTGCATTCCTTCTGCATGATGTTGAAGAATCTCCACCCTTCATTGACTAACCCGGAATGGCTGCAAGCATACAAAACCGATATGAATGAGACTCCATCCGGTTTAATTCCGTCTCGCCTCATTTCTTCAAATGCTCTGATCGCTTCCTTTCCAAATCCATGCATTCCATAACCAGCGATCATCACGGTCCATGAGACGAGATCTTTAGAAGGAATCATCGTATCAAATAGTGACCTTGCAAGAACAAGTGCACCGCACTTAATGTACATGTCGACAAGTGCATTGGTGATGTGTCGATCATCAGAGAGGTGATGCCCATTTCTTAGTACGTGACAGTGGATCTGTCTTCCCATGTTTAGAGCCGATAAGCTGGCGCAAGCTGGGAGAATGCACGATATAGTCCTACCATCTGGTTCCCATTTTCCGCTTACCATTGTGGCAAAGTGATGAACCGCTTCATTTGGCAGATCATTTTTTGTGTACCCTCCTATGATTGTGTTCCATGAGATGATGTCCTTTACCGGCATCTGGGAGAAGACCAAGCTCGCGTCTTCCATGCTTCCACATTTCGCATACATGTCCATCAGGGCGTTGCAGACAAATAAGTTCGATTCTAGCCCTTGCCCCGTGATGTAATTATGGACACTTTTGCCGGATTCCAATGAGCCTGAAGAAGCACAAGCATGAAGAACAGCAGAGAGCGTGAAAATATCCGGTTTAGTACCCGAACTCGTCATTTCATGGAACAATCTGATGGCGTCATGAAGAAGACCTGATCGAGAATAGGCTTGGATCATGGAAGTCCAAGATACCACGCTTCGTTCGGAAGTCTTCTCAAAGACTCTACTGGCTGCAGCCAAATCGCCACATTTGGAATACATGTCCAACAGTATGTTGCAGAACTTGGTTTCTTTGTTAAAATGGAGCTTTATCCCAAAAGAGTGAACTGATCTACCGAGAGAAAGATCACTGCAACTCGCACAAGCCGAGAGAACAATAACTGCTGAGGCCAAGTCGATCTCGACTCCTGAAGATACCATTAGTTTGAAAACCTCAAGCCCTTCCTCTGAACCGCCATTAGCCACGTACCCACTGATCATGGAGTTCCAAGAAACGACATCTCTTTGAGGCAATTCGTCGAACAGCTTCCGTGCACTCTCCACCCTCCCTACCTTCGCGTAAAATGATAACAAAGAATTAACAACGCTGCAACTGCAAGCAGCGAGATCCAATTTCAGCAAATACCCATGAAGCCACTCGCCGTTCTTCACACTCCCTGAAGCGGCAAAGCATTTCAATATGCATGAGAAAGTGTAGGAGTCCGCTGCAATCCCTGCATTCAACATCTTCTGAAATAGATATACACATTCTGCAAAGTCTTCGACTTTGGCGTACTCGTTAATCATTAGATTCCAAAGGAAGACCTTCTCATTTACAACCTGGTCAAAAACCAATCTCCCTTGGCTTAGTTCCCCGCAGCTTACGTACATAAATACAAGCCTCGTCCCTAAAATGCCATTAATCTGAACGTCGTTACAGGAAATGACCGAATGAACTTCTTTGCCATCTTGCAGAGACTTGAGCTCGCCACAGAGCTGCAAAACTGCACAGTAAGTGCTCGATGAAATGCTGGGTTTTTCCGACAGGCGGAACCATTCCATGGCTTTCTTCAGATTGCTCATCTCACAAAATTGGCATATCTTCGCGTTGAAATCCACAAATTCATTATCTTTGGGATCGGCAAACGATTTGGGGACCGGAATCGTTGCATAAGAGCAGGTCAGAGTGGATGATACCAGAACTGGTTCTGCGATTGGGTTGTGGAAAGTGAATGAATTCCTAAATTTGATTCGATTTTGGCCATGGATACTTTGCCAAGGAGAGACGAAGCAGTTTGCAGATGCAATCACGGCCATGGAAAAGCCACCATGAAAGTTTAAGGCGGAAAATTTCCAACGGACAATTAGCTAAGAAATGGAAGTGGGAGTGTTGAACTCGGAACCCAGAGAAAAACAGAAATACCCTCAACGGCTTCCGTCAGGTACAAAACAAGCGCGTGTTTAGCACGCGTTTTGATCAAGACGTGGCCTTGATGAGTTTCAAGGAGTGAAAACAGAGCCACTAGTCGCTTCAGGTGACGATACTTCAGTCCCTGGGACATTGGGAGTCCATTTCTGATCACAAATCTTCAGAATCGGGAACCCAAGTTCTAAAATTAATAAATGGACGCAGCAGCTTCTTATTCCTATGGCGGCCCTGCAATTCGCCTTCCCCCATTCTCATCGTCCAAATGCGTCGGGCTCCAGAAGATTTCCTTTTACTCTGCATCTTCGAAAGGTATTCTGTTGGATTTCTGCCCCTATAATGAACTAACTAATGATATACCGACTCGATTAGTTCATTCCTTGATGAAGTTTGGTTGAGTGGAAGGTGATGGGTCTTTCGCATTTGCTTCTCCAAAAGTTCTGGGCTCAGGCAATAGAATAAGCAGCAGCAGGATCAGCAAGAAACATGAGAGGAAAGCAACCATTTCGTCACGAGAAAAGGAGATTATAGCCCTTTTCAGACGGATAAGGATTGCAATCTCTTCAACAGAATCCAATGGAAGCGCCGAGGACGCCACATCGCAGAAGAAAAGTGCAACAATCAATTCCGTTTCAGGTGAAAATGAAATCTTTTCAGAAAGTAAATTCACTGCCTTTCTCATCCCCTTTGGTTCTTTTGACTTGTCATAATCAGTGGAAACGCCACAACTCCATTAGTACAAGCAAGGCACTGTAAAGTTTGTCTAACATCTGCAGGGAAGGCTAAGAACAAGGAGAAAGTGAAGCAGGGGGAAACAAGGCGGAAGCAAGGAATGCTGGAGAAGCAGGTTTCACAAAGCACTGTGCAAGGGGGAATAGCAGAGTTCAAGAATCGACCACCAACTAACTTCATGAGAAGGTCGCCAATACCATCTACGTCGGCTCCCAGGGTAATGGATAATGAGCTCGATGATGGAAACTCAGCAACACAAGAAGGTGACAAGTTGGAAAACCAAAAACTAGAGCAAATGAAGCTGGCTCAGCTGAAGGAACTGGCCAAGTCAAGGGGAGTGAAAGGGTACTCCAAGTTGAAGAAAAGAGAGCTTGTTGAATTCCTGAAATACAGCAACTGTTAAAAGTTAACACTAACTGTCGAGATTTTTCAGACCAATGTACCTACCATTCTTGGATTGAGCTGCTAAATATACGTCATAATTTGACAACCCGAATGTATTGATGGTCCAAACAAAAGAGGTAATGTAACACTTGAACTGCCAGCGATTCAAAATCTCTCCCAGAATATTCAAAACTTTCAAATCTCAGGAAGCCTGTGAAAAGGAAATACAGCTATCCCAAATTTGAGCAGATCAGTGAAGAAATGACTTAAGATCCGATGTTTTGGGCCTTGTTAAGAATAACTCCTTCATATTTGACCTGGAACCACTTCATGGCATCTTCCTTTGTAACTCTGTGTTGAATCCCAACGCGTGCCTTGCACCTGCGGCGACGGGCCACTCTGTATCCCGGGCGCTCAAGGACAACAAAGAAGTCCATACCATAAATACCAGTTGATGGATCATATCTGCATGATATAATGAAGAACAGAATCAGTTATGAGACACAAAGTCTAATTAGCAGGGAACAACTTAAACAAGAAAGAAGACGATCAAGACATTGTAACTACGATAGTAACAACATGAAGAAGCAGACTACCAAGATAACCTAATAGCAGTAGGAATCTGACACTATTTTATATCAGAAGAAAAGTTTAAAAACAACTATTGCCCCAATGAGAATGATTTGCACAGCTTGTCTATATAATGCCCTAATAGGTAATTCAATTGTTGAAGCCCAGTGGCATTACCAATAGGCCAACTATGTCATGCAATTTTGAGAAGTGGATTAGTAGCAGAACATAGAGATTTCATAAATCAAGTTGGTACTCCAGGCAGCCTTGCAATTGTCTACACTCAAGATTTGCTTGATGAAAGCTACTCAACAACAATGCATTTACAGCTTGACTGATTCTTTCTGTAACTGTTCACAGCCCTTAACTTCTAAAAGGGGCATGAAACAGTAAACATAAGATTAGACGGACGAGACTCACTTGATTCCAAGATCAATATGCTCCTGGATACCGAAACCAAAGCATCCAGTGTCGCTGAAGTTCCTCCTCAGGAGCTCATACTCCTTCACCTTCAGACCGCTCTCCAGCAGCTGCATTGCCTTGTCGCCCCTCACGGTCACATAGCAAGCTATTTTCTCATTACGCCTGATCCCAAAAGACCTAACAGTATACCTAGCTGCAAAAACCCAATTCGTTCTACCTCTCATTAAAACCCCTCCACAACAAATGCAAATCAAGAGGAACTCCCAATCATATATTGCTATTAAAATCCTAACTTAAAGCATACCCTTGGAATACACTGGGGTTTGTCCGCTGAGTTGCTCCAGCACCTGCGAGTAAGATAAACGAATATATATATGATTAAGCAGGAACAGACTAGAGCAAGCGAAAGCTGGCAGAAAGAAAGCAAACCTTTGCGGCACGGGTGAGACGATCGCCGCTTTCTCCAACGGAGATGTTGAGTACCAACTTCTGGACTTTGATTTCCCTCATGGGGTTGGAAAGCTTCTTATCGTCAACCTAAAGTAACCAGGCATTTCGACCAGAGAGAATGAGAATAATACAGCATATCCAAAAGCAGGTAAAGAGACACCAATCAAACAAGAGAACCAGAGGAAGAGCGATACCATTTTGACGGCGATGAGAATGGGAGTGCACAACGGGGAAGGAAGAGAAGAATGTGATGTCTCTTTGCCGCCGACGCCGAGACCCTAAGAACTGAGAAGTTGAAAAGGAATTATATGAAAATGGGGGCGGCTAGGGTTAGGGTTTTCATTGTGGGCCGGCCCAACATGGAACGTTGAAGTGGGCCTAATAAAAGGGTCAGAAAAAGGTAAAATAAAAGTTCGGATTTCCGTTGCCGGGACTTGAACCCGGGTCTTTCGGGTGAGAGCCGAATATCCTGACCAACTAGACTACAACGGATTTATTGCTGGTTTAGATTAATCATATTAATGATATCTTTTGATTTAATTTAATATCCAAACAGCCAGATCACATTGTGCAGTCGCTTTCCGAACAAGCACTTTACATCACCGCATTGAACATACTCAATCTGGATTAGGGATGGCAACAAAACCCGAACCCACGGGTACCCACCCGACCCAACCCGGTCAACGCGGGTAAAATTCGTGTTGACGGGTTTTGGGCCGGGTTTGGGTTTAAACCCGTTCACTATTCATCGGGTTGGGTTGGGTTTGGGTTTAGGTAAACCCGGCCCGTGGGTACCCGCCCACTCATATAATTAATTTTTTCGGTATATTTAATATTCTAAACAACTAATCTTATTTATGTTTGTGGAGACATGTCTAATTTTTTCTTTTTAATTGTGTAGAATGAAGTTGATGTTATGGAGTGGAGAGTAAAGAAACTTAATTGAAAGGAAGAAGTTTTCAATTAAACATGTTATTTATGAATAATTTGTGATTTGCCTCAATTTTCTTGAGTTTTCTAGATTGGTGTTGAACAATTTGTATAGTTTATTTGTGATTTGCTTGAATTTTCTAGAATGGTATTTTATATATGGATAATTTGACTTTAATTTTGATAAGAACTTGTAATTGTAAATTTTTTACGACAAAACCCGTGGGTACCCATGAACCCGCGGATACCCAACGGGTTGGGTTGGGTTTGAGTTTTTCAAACCCAGTGGGTTTTACCCCGGGTTTTTTTCAAAGATAAACCCATGGGTTTGGGTTTGGATTTGGCAAAACCCGACCCAACCCGACCCAACCCGACCCATTGCCATCACTAATTTGGATTGCTCTTATATTGACATGCAGAGGCACATGGACATGGCAGGTACCTTTTTTGCCAATTCAGTAAAAAGATCCTTCCAGCGGGAAAAGAACAGAGAAGTAAGTGAAAAGAAGACCACATTAGCATTCAACCAAACTTCTATATACCAACTATCATGTGGTTCTGAGATTGCGCGAGTATCTGAGTTTCCACTTTCCATGTGTTAAATAGCAAAGTAAAGGAAAAGAACAAAAGCAGGTTGTTCAAGCACTCTATACTGCCGTATGTAGCGAAAACAAACTACCAACTGAAGTGTTGTTGCCTAGGCTATACACAAATTCCCCACAGGAGACCAAAAGAAATATCAATTTCTCCAGCTCTTCCCAGCCTCCGACCAGAGAATTCCCAGCTTCAATGAGATTGGTAATCCATGGCGGCCCCCCTCCGCACAACTGGCTCAGAACATATTTACACGGAAGAACCATGGCAGCACGAAGGCGATTACGAGGCACGCCATCAGGAAGTTGCAGAATGGTTGTCCTCTCCAACATCCTCCACCTCTCTCCGACGAATTCCCGCCACCTCCGTGCAGAAATCGCCTGTTGTTCCACTCCTCCAGGAAACGGTTGTCCCCTACGATTCCTGATATGTTCTTCGCTGTCTCCCCACAGATTTCGCACACTCTGCAAATATGAGAACTAGAGATGAGTTTCTTATTTCCATAATTTCCATCAATGCAGCAGCTAAGTTCATCTGTCAATATGATATTGCTTTAAGTTCATGAAGTTGACAGCATCCTGACTGAAGTTCTGGGATTAGATGTAGCTACATTTGAACTCATACATTCAAAGAAATGGCAGAAGATAACGGCAACAAGAGATAAAGCCAAAGACTGGTTTCCTGAACATTATGCAAATTTCAATGCTGTAGAACTTGGTACTATTGAAAATCACTATAGTACTAAAAAACAGCAGCTTGAAAGATAAACAAGAGGCAAGAAACCATATCAGGCAAACGAATTATGTGACAGAGGTCTCATATACTCAAAACACTTCCTGGGTTCAAACAATACATGAGAGATGAGACCCTAAAATCTCCCATTTGTGAGAATGCCAACTACAGTATATGACAAGAGAGCATAATCTGTTTACCTGTTTCCTTTGAGCCTGAACCAGGCTTCGGCACAGTGAGAATGTGAAACACCGAGCTCATCTTTACATCCACAACCGAGCTGGATGAGCTCCATGGAGGTCACAGTCACATCAGGCCCTGCAGTGGGGACTTCAATCGACCCATCAGAACTCAAATGACAAATTCTGCAAACCTTCTCCCTGTCACAGTTATCCTTCAAATTCCCAACATCACACTTCACATCAATCACGCATGAAGTCTTCTTCTCCCCCTTCGGCACTATCGCCTTCAAGTTATCCGCCGCGTTAGCCTTGTTGCTCTTGACAACCAAGCTTTCCCCATTATCAACGGAGTTTTCCATGGAAATTACCGTCTCAGGCACAACTCTATCTCCGTGCGCATTGTGGTTCCCGCCGCTTCCTTGGCCGCCTTTATCCAATGCCTCGCTTTCTCCATGCCCACCACCTGTTTGCTGGTTTGTCGCAACCACAGTGAGCCGCAAGTCGTCGCCTTTCGCTTCCAAATTCCTGTTTTCTCCACTGACGCTCGCCGACAAGCTGCTGGAATCTACCACGGCCGAGCTCTGTAGCTCGACAACATGAACTGAATCAGTAAGATTCCGACTAACCCCCTCTCCCCCGGCTCCTTCTTCTTTACCAATCGCTGCCTTCCCCGAATCTGATGATTCCTTGCCCATCTCCAAAGCAACCCCATTGCCAGAATTTTGACCTGTTCCTCCCTTCTTTGGATCCATTTCTACAATCTTTTTCACCGTCTCCGGACAAAACTGCTGGAAGCAAAATCTGACCCAGAAAATGAATTTTACTTCCCTTCACGGAAGAAACCCCACGTCTGCGAGGAATTTTCCGCCGTCGTGGTCGTCATACAGCTGATCTTGTCACAGGCAACTGACCACATCATAAAATTTCCAAAACAATGCAAAAGGATAAGAAAGAAGGAAACTTGGGCGAACGAAACGGAGAAGGCAGGGTCTTGGTTTTGGTTTCGGCGTTACCTACTCCGTATCAAACTCCCTCCAAGCTATTTTCTCCAGGTATTAGCTTTTCTGTGAATGAAGAAAGAATCAGGCGCTTACTAGAGAGAGAGACTATCTTTTTTTCCCCCCCGAGAATAATTCCTCCTCTGATGGAGAAAGACTATTATAAAGCCTTGAGAATGGAGAAATTAAAAACAGCAAGTGGGAACAACAATGATAGATAGATAGACAGAGCTAATTGCCAACTTGTCTCGATTGTATAATCTTAAAATTCTCAAGAGACAGAATTTATTGTGTGAAGGTGACTCTCTAGTCTCTACATGTTACAGTACTCCCCTTATCTTCAAATACTTCTAATAGTCTAAAAGTGATTACAAAATAATTAACAATAAGTATTCGTAATATGCTTAGCTATTCGTCGCCCTACTCTTTACTAACCGTCGCTCTAAATTGATGTAAAAAAATTTCAATGCTCTTAATGAATCTCGTATTCATGTTATGAAAATATGATATTTATGCTGAAAATATGATATTTATGTTATGAGAATGTGATACTCATTAATAGCATTTAGGACTTTTTACATCAATTTATGGCGACGATTAGTAAAATTTGGGCGATGAATAACAATCCTCTTTGTATTTTTTTTTTTTTTGACAAAAGATAATCATATATTGATTCAACAAATAGGCAATTACAACCTGGAGGTCAGCCAGGCCTGGAAATCGAAAAAACGACTCGTTGTCGGGTACAAAGAAAGGGTCTTTCGAGCCACCAAATGGGCTACCCTATTACTACTCCGACCTACAAATCGAACACTAAACCCCGGATTACTGGACAACCCCAGCACCACTTCTTCCAGAATCGCACCCACCTTGTTATCCCTAGCATCAGCCCTCAGAATCTTGTCGATGACTACCTTGGCATCCCCTTCAAATCTGACATCTGTGAAACCCTGCTCGAGACACCAAAGAATACCCTCGCGAAGGACAAGCAGTTCCACCAGCATGGGGTCATCAATTATCGGAAATTGGACCCCTTTAGCCAGTAGGACCGCCCGAGAAGGGGTCATCAAAACCATTCCCCCCGCCGAATGAGACCCGCTCCTAGTAACCCCATCCCACATGCACACAATCCCAGCCTCAGACTCCGGCCCTGGTTGCTGCGCTAAAGGATTTGGGGCATGGAGAGGCTTATCCACAGGAAGACGCACCCACTCCTCATACTGCTGGGCATACTGGAGCATCAAAGCAGGAATCCCAAATTGCTTTCCTTCAAAAACCACCCAATTCCGTGACCGCCAGATTCGCCATAGGACTGCCACCATTCCCATAAAAAGAGCTGGCTGATGAAGTAAAGCCATCAACCTTTTAAGAAAGATAGGGAATGTATGACGAGGAAGCCCCTCCTCTAGGTAATCAAGTCCCGAATAGCCCCACAGGGCCGTGCCACCGGACAGTCCAGAAACAATCCTCTTTGTAATACTTATTATGAAAATGAATATTTTCAAAAAAAAAATAATTAAGATTTGCAGATATTTGTTAAGATTTATTTATGAACTTATTTTGAATTTATTTGCAAACAATATAACGTACATGCATCCAAATGAAAAAACCCCTACTAGATGATAAGAAAATGAATCACTTTGATTGAGCCACATACATCATGTGGATTATGGAATCGTTCTTCTTCGTCTTCGATTATTTTACATGATATCAAATAATTACATGCTAATTTGATTTAAATTCAAAGCTATAATGAAGTTTGTTTCATCATAAGATCTTATCATTATAGTTGCCAAATGTTCGAATGTCAGCGTGATATCTTGCTTTTCTTCAATTAATTCATATGATTAGACACGGGTTTTTTTTTCGTTCGGTGACTAAATTAAAAAAATTAGCGACTATAACCCTGTAATATTTCAACTGAACGTGCTCTCTTTCACTGATAACTTGATAGATAAACAATAAAAAAAAACACAAACAATACAAGATTTATGTGGTTAATTTCCTTGACAATGATTGTCAAAACTAGTTCATAGCACAAAGACGATTGAGTTCCCACTTCCCAACCCTACAACCCCCGCTACTTAATCCGGAGCCCTAATCAGAGAAGGGAACTACCACAAAGATCTAAAACTTAATGCACAAGTGAACATATGTGAACTATTTGCACTAACAATAATCACATTTGGTACTCATAGAAAGGAAATATGTGCCGAACAGTTTCCTCTTTGTATGAAACTTGTACCATTTCAAATTGATATACTATGCATTATTCGCAATCGAGTATAGGGAAATACAAGAGAAGAATGTTATTTATGTATATCGTGACAACAGGTGAAGGAATTGCAACGTGATTAACCTCTATTAATTAAGTGAATAAGGGCTGAGGATTTTCTTAAAAGGGTGGGTTAATCTTCCGACGGTATATATTAATTAGGATTAGAGATGGGGATACCAATGAATTAACGGAACGGCAATCAATGGCGTGTGAGATGTTAAGAAGGAGATATTTATATCTTTTAGAGCATAAAATGAAGATTCAACAAGCACGCAGGGTGCCATTAGCATACCCAGCAGGCAAACGCAAAACCATCGCTGGCTGCGCGGTGCGGTTGTTGGTTTTGGACTTGTCACTTGTCGTCGTCACTATTAGCAGCGGCAGCTACGGCCCCACCTCACCCTCTTCTTCAGTTCTTCTTCTTCTTCTTCGTTGTGAATGTGATGAGATGAGAGAGAGACGGGGTTGGTCGACATTCTTCGCTTTGCCAAATGCCAATCTCTCTCACCCTTCACCTTCGTTTGAAGGACATCTTCTTTTCTTGTACCACCTTCGATTAAGATATCTTAACATTGGCAACCAACAAAATTCATTGTCCTTTTCCATATGGAAACATGTGAGTTAATGTTGTAACATATATAACAAAAGAAACTAGTCAAGCTCACAATTTTGTGTATGGTGGGACGAAATGATGGGGAAATAAACTCCTAAAAGATGATAGGAGGTTTTTTGTTTTACTCGGGAGCATCTATAAGTATACATCGCTTGAGCGATGGTGGAGCGAGATCAAATTTGGGGGTTCACCTGCTCGAGCCGTTTTGGGCTTTTCACTAAGATCCCATTTTAGTGCCTTCGGGAACACCACAACTGGCCTCGATGTGAGTTGAACACGCGGAACTCACATTTCCCGGTCGAGGGTCTTTCGAGAATTTCACCGGTTGGGCTATGTGACATTTGGCAAAAGATGATGGAGTTGAAAGTGGACTAGTTGAATTCCTTTAATAAAAAATTGGTGGATTTATGAATTGTTGAAAATTCATAATTTTGAACCTATATATTTAACATTTTTCAATTTGATAAGTAGATTTCAAATTTTAATGAAATTTTCATAATTTTATGTTTTGGTGCCTAAAATTTGTATACTGACATTTCCGTGTCTGAATTGCAAAATTTTAATTGTCTTACTCACGGAATCAACGTGCTACGGAAATTGTAAAACTGTATCATAGTGAGGTTGTACTGAAAAAGTCAACGATATGACATTCATATTGAAATCGTGGTTCAACCGTAGTTCCATCTGCCGGTTTAGCCTCCGGTAAAACTTTTTCCTGGCCGAACCGCTGCTATAGTATGTTTTTACAAATACCGGTGCTAAACTATATAATATGATCATTGATCGCCAACCAAAAGAGGAGTTTCAAAGAGAGGAATCAAGTGGCGATGTAAATTTACTAATTTAGAAATAACCACCAATATTATAGATAACCATCCCTATAAAATAAATAAAAAGATTGAAAACGCCAAATATTCATCGTGAAAATGTATGGCAACATAATGTAACTACTAACTAGGGATACAAATTAATTTCCAAACGCTTACAAGGAACAAAATAGTTTATTTGCGCTTTGTAATTTTGTCTTCTTGGTCGAAATTCGAATATCGGTTACTTTCCAATTCCTGCAAACGTCGGTCGTGGTCCTCCTCTCTACACACTATTATTTTTCAAATATTTGACATCGTTTATGTCAACTTTGGAAATATGGTACCAACAGAAACCTTTTTGCAGTCCTCCCAACTCTGTGTAATAATCTTGCCAAAATACGCTTCTAATACGCTTTATAATTCTTAAATTTTGATCTAGGGTTTCATTATCTTGTTTACGATGATTTTGAGTGGGCTCATGGAAATTACTTTTTCACAATTTATTCTGTGCTGGTACTATTTGGTCTTTGAGTAGCATTGGAGAAAAAGCTGGGATTTTTTTCCTGCCCTATCGTATCTCATCTTGTCTTGTTATTAATCCGTTGCATCTCAATCTTCATTAATAGATTCATATATGTGTTGTTTTCACTCCTCTATAGACTTGTGATCAGTACAAGCCTTCATTTCTTAAATAATTTAAACTTTCAATTATATAAAAAATCTTTTTGGTTGAGAAAACATTTTTCCTTTATGGGTCGTTTGGATGGATGAATTGAAAAGCGAGACAGTTTGGTTAGCTGTCTCATTTTATAAAATGAGTCCTTTAAAACGAGTTAATTCGAATTGTCTGCCCCCCACCCCAGACAATTGTAATTACCTCAAAACAAGTCAATTTGAAATTTCTCAAGTTTAATTTGCTTCATTCAAATTTTGTGCTGACAAACGATCAATTTGGCCATATTGTCTCATAATGAAACAATTTGTTCAAATTGATCCGTTAGAATTCCTCATCCACATGACCCCTTACCTTTTCATATAGTAATTATTTTCTCCTAATCACATGTCGGAATGACTCGCCTTACATTTAGGGGTGAGCATCGGTCCGGAACCGGATTGAATTGAGATAGGATCAAACAAAAAAATAAAGGAAAACGAGGATCAGAACGGGTCCAACTTCAATTTCGTTCCATTTTTTTTTCATACTCAAAATAATTATTTGGATCAAAACGACAAAACCGAGTCCAAAAATATTCAATCTGATCCAATTCGGTCCAAATATTGATTTGGTCTGATTGTATCTGATGTGAACCAAATTATTGCCTACCCCTACTTACACACGAACATATGTCTGACGTCAATATTACTCAAACAAACTTGATCTAAACATGAAATTGATTGTTACGAGACAAGCTATAGTAATAATTCGGGCAATTTTTGGGCTCATTTATTTTAATATTTATTAATTGTAAAG